TGTTGCATAGTTATTGTATGAGTTGTGAATATTGGTGATGGGATAGTAGGTCCAGATATGTTGTATGTGAAATAAAGATTTATTGTTTTCTGCCTTCTATTTCATGCACCATTATACCATTATTATTTCGTGATTCTCACCCCTTTGCTGTTGTTGTGGTTTGTGCTTCTTCGGAAGTACAGACAATCCAGGTGTTTAGCTAGCTTGGATTGTGGCTTCGTCGTAGGATTGCTCTGATATGTGTGCCACTGTGGCGTATCTGACTTGTGCGAGATATGTGATGATGTTTGATGATTATGTTATATATTTTTGGGCAGATGGTCGATGGTTGTATATATGACGTTGTTGATGACATGGATGATGTATAAATGTTGTTTTGTGTTAAGACAGACTATGTTCATTTTCCGCTGCAACTTTATTGAAAATTAATTTGGAAAAATGTTTTGTGAAATTTTTTGATGAGAATTGTGACATCCTGTTGTGGGAGAACTCTGATGTGTGATTATTTATTTGTGTTATTTTTATTTTGGGAAACGGGGTGTTACATAAGTCACCATGAAGAAAGGCGTTATTTGCATCCAATTGTTCTACAAACCACCCTTTAACAGCAAGAAGAGCTAATAAAACACGCACAGTAGTCATCTTAGCTATTGGAGAAAAGGTGTCAAAGTAATCCACCCCTTCCATTTGTGTATAGCCTTTGGCCACAAGGCGAGCTTTGTACCTCTCTATGGATCCATTAGCATGATATTTGATCGTATACACCCATTTACAACCTATTGGAGTCTTGCCACAAGGAAGATCCACAACAGTCCATGTATTATTTACCTCTAGAGATGCAATCTCAACATTCATTGCCTCCTTCCAACAGACAAACTTGGAAGCTTGGTTGTAAGTTTTGGGCTCAATGTTAGATGAAATAGAGCAGCAAAACAATTTATAAGTAGGAGAACAATGATTATAAGTCAAAACAGATGAAAGAGGATAAGTAATAGAAGTGGAATTTTGATTAGTACAGCTAGATATATTATTGCAGTGATAGTCCTGCAAATAGCTTGGAGGTCTTTTAATACGAGTTGAGACTCTAAGAGGGGTAGAGGGACTAGCTTCAGTACTAGCATGAGCTAGAATATAGGTTGAGTTGGGTTCAGCTAAAGGTGAGGTAGGGTGAGGACAACCTATAGGTGACTGAAGTGGAGTAGAAGGGTGAACTGGTGCAGAATTAACAGGTGGAAAGGTGACAGGTGACTGGTCTACTATAGTAGCAGGGAAAAAGGTGAGAGGGACCAAATTTTGGTCCACAACGTTTAGGTCTGCAAGGTTCTGGGCTGCATCAGTAGGGTTGATGTTGGCATTATGTAAGGGACCATTGGATAAAGGAGAGATGTCATCAATATCCAAACATCCAACAGATATAGGAAAGTGCTGGGACTCTTGGGAAGAAGACTGATTGGATAGAGATTGAAATGGAAGGTTATGCTCATAGAAAATGACATTTCGTGAAAGGAAAATATCATGAGATTGGAGGTCATAGAGGGTATAACCCTTGACTCCATCCTTGTAGCCAATAAAGGCACATTTTCTTGCTCTGGGATCAAATTTAGACCTGTAAGCTTGAATAGTTGTTGCATAAGCTAAACAACCAAAGACTTTGAGGTGAAGAAGGGTAGGGGGTTTGTGTAGCAACTCATAAGGGGTTTTAGATTTAAGCAAGGGACTAGGAATTCTGTTTATGATGTGTACAACATGTTGAATGCAGAAGCTCCATAAGGAGAGAGGAATATGAGCATGGAAGTATAAGGATCTTGCAACATTTAAAATATGTTGATGTTTACGTTCAACTATGCCGTTTTGTTGTGGAGTTTCAATACAATACCTTTGGTGAATTATACCTTTAGACCTAAGGAAATCAGTTAAGGTGACAAATTCAGTCCCATTGTCGGATCTGAGACATTTTAAAGAAGTATTGAATTGATTTTCTAGATAAGCCACAAAATTAATGATGCAATTTTTGGTTTCACTTTTGCTTTTAAGGAGAATTATCCATGTGAACCTAAACTAATCATCCACTAAGGTAAGGAAATACCTATGTCTAGAAATAAAAGTTGTGGTAAAGGGCCCCCACATATCAGCATGCAATATTTGAAAAGGAAATGCAGAATTGGTAATGCTATTAGGGAAAGGTAATTTCTTTTTCTTAGAAAAATGACAACTATCACAGGGTGTTATATTATTTTTACAATGTATGTAAGGAAATTGCTTAGAGATAATTTGCATACCAGATTCTGAAATGTGACCTAATCTGGAATGCCATTTCTCAAAAGAATCAGAGGAAATAGAATTGCAAGAAGAAAAACTAGTGGCAGTATCTATTACATATAATCCTTTTTGGAGCTTAGCTGTACCAATCGTTTCCAAGGAATGGTTCTGCAAAATTTGACAAGAGTTAGTGGTGAAACTCAAATGACACTTATTTGTGCTTGCTAACTTTGTGACAGAGATTAGGTTTACTTGAAAACAAGGAATGTATAGGACTTAGTGGATAGTGATAGATGGGGATATAACCACACTACCCGAAATAGAAGCCAAGACTTGGGAGCCATTTCGTAAAGACACAGAAACAGGGATAATATTTTGATATGTAGTAAAAGAGGAAAGATAAAAAGTGATGTGATTAGTAGCAACAATATCTAATATCCAAAGATTGGAAGGCTTACCAAGTTGGGAAGAAGCAGGAGAATGCATAGCAAAAGGAGCAGTTGTTACAACATTAACTGTTGGTTGGGAACCAAGTTTTGACTGTTGAAGAGCTTCAAGAATGCCTTGATACATTTCCTGAGTAAATTGAAACATGGACTGTGCAGATGAGCCTTGTGAAGCAGACTCCAAAACAGCAGCATTTGAGGTATTGTTGGCTTGAAATGAGGGATTCTTTTGCTTGTGTGTCTTGTACCCAGGAGGATAACCAATCTTCTCAAAGCAGTTATCAACAATGTGGTTGTTCTTACGACAGTGAGTGCATGTGCGATTACCCCCTTTGAAAGAACCTTGTCCCTTTCCCTTATAGTAACTCCCTTTGTTATTGGAATTGTGGTGATTAGAGCTAACTTGCATAGCTACGACATGTTCAGATGCAACTTCAGTAGCAGAATTTTGGTTAGAGCTAATCAGTTCTCGCTCTTGTTGTAAAACCAATGAAAAAGCATGTTCAATATCAGGGAGAGGATTCATCATCATGATTTGTGATTTGGAGTGCAAGAAACGTTCATTCAAGCCTTTTAGGAATCGAATAACAAAGTCTTGTTCACGATAGGCTCTAACAAATTCAATTGCGCCACAAGAGCAAGGAATTGAACACTTACAGTAAGGAAGAGGACGATAATTCTCCAATTCGTCCCAATAAACCTTCAATTGAGTGAAGTAATCTAAAATATCAATAGTTCCTTGACGAAAGCGATACAGATCCTCTTGCAGATCGGAAATGCGGAAGATGTCACTTTGTGAGAAACGAACGCGCAAATTCTTCCAAACTCCTGCAGCAGTGTTAATCCAAAGGATAGAACGAGCAATGAATTCGGAGAGAGAACAATGAAGCCATGCCAATACCATCGTATTACATCGGATCCATGACGCGTACATCGGATCGAAGACGGGAGGCTTCAGAAGAGAGCCATCAACGAACTTATCTTTGTTCTTCGAAATCAGCGCGATATGCATCGAACGTGACCAAGTATGGTAGTTCTTGGCGGTTAGCGGCGGCGAAACAAGAATCAACGCCAGATTCTCGTTCGGACGCAAGTAGTAAGGGTTTGCAGAGTTGGTGGAGAAATCAATGTGGTTCTGGAACGCCATAGATGCACCTTCAAGGAGAAAGAGGAAATGGATGAATCAAGAAGAAAAAAGAAGCAAGATTCAGCCGGAGAAAACGGTTACAATTGGTGGCTACCAGAACTCAGATGAGCTCTGATACCATGTTGACAAGAGGATCAAAATAGTAAAGGAAACTCATTTTACTTTGATTGAATAATGAAAGTAATAATCTCATTGTTACATTGATGATTAGGAACTTATATATACTGCTAGGTAACAAAGCTAATTATAGTAAATAACTAATTACCAAAGAGTAAAAATAATAAAGCTATGCTAACTATAGTAATGTTGACAAGAGTCCACAGGATGTGAGAGGGAAACGAGTGTTATTGGAGTTCTCTTTAGATTTTATTTTGAATGATAAAATAATATATAAAAACATGTGATTGCCACCAAAATCAAGATAACAATAAATCATAAGATGTGTACATAAAGGACTACCAAAGAAACAAATACAATAAAATAAAATCTAACCAGATAAACAACTCCTCAACCAATGCAAATTGAATTCACTGCGGTCAAACTTCGACGCATTCGCACAATCATAGCATCAATGACCGTTTGATGTGATCGGAAAATTCATAACAATATATTTTATTTACTTATTTTATTTCAAAATTAAATATGAACCGTTTGATTTTAATCATCGATATACCGAATCCGTGAATGCTTGGATTTTTACCTGTAAAGAATCATCATCCCAACCAATGAGGTAACAAGCTAAAAAGAGTCAAACCTACTAAAAACCAACTCTTTAATTTTCATGTGAGATTTCATACTTCAAGAACTACAATTTACAGATCAGAACCATCCAAAAGAATAGTAAAAATCACAAATCATCTTTTTCCCTTAGAACTGGGACAAACATTTGCATGTGAATGTGTCTGTTCACTCATATTAAAACCACGAACAAAATAGGTAAAATCTGGTTTTGCATGTGAATGTGATTGTTCCCTCATTAAAAGAGGCGCAAGATAAGTAAAATCAGATTTTTGTTTTGCAAACGGCGGAAGAATTTGTGCAGCTGGTAAGGGTGGTATGAAATGGTGTTCCATAAAATGAATACTCTCATTATCATATCTGCAACAAACTTTCTTTTGAGGAGACATGTCCATATCTTCTTCCATCATTCACTTGTGAAAATTTTGATCACAAGTAGTTGAAGATGGTCTTGTAACACCAACTAGGTTTGGATTTGAGGTTTCAAGTTTAGTTGATACAGATAGAGATGGTAAAACATTTGGAGTGTCTTCTGATTTTACCAAGGCACTGTAATAACTTTTGTATGGTTCATATTTTGTTGGTGATTCAAAAGGCACGCGAATCGGAGACCACACTTCAATTGGGTCATTTTTTCTATATTGTTCTGATATCGAAGTCCATAATTGAATACAACTACTATTACATGTTCTTGATGATCCAGATGATTTCTGGTGAAGAAAACTAGGATGATTTATCTGGTTTCTTTTCCATACAACACAACCAATAAGGTAATCTTTGTTCTTCTCAAAGGTTGTCTTATCACCGAACTTGAAGAATCCATATTGTGCAAGTAAGGTCATTATTGTGTCACTACAAGGACACACGTAAAGATCAATGCCATTTATAACTTTTGCAATTCCTACTCTTCCATCTTCTACATATTTTTTTTCAATCTGTTAAATAAGAGAGAAGTATTTTTGTTAAAACCATACACGAAAATTGTTATATATCAATCCATAATTATTGATATTTTAAAATGACATACAATTAACATGTTGCAATTTGAAGAATCATTTGTTTTGTAGGGTTGAGTTAAGTCCAACCACATTTATTAACATGGTATCAGAGCCTCGTTTAAGATCCGGTGGATCACCTTCTATGATTTCCGCTATCGGACCACCCACCATTTATTTCCACGCTTCAGTTGTCTAGTCCTGAGCGTGAGAGGCTGTGTTAAGAGTCTCATATCAGACAATATATGACATGAACATGTGTTTATAAGTGAGGGTAATGCTCACTCTACCAACTGGTTTTGTAGAGTTGAGTTAGATCCAATCACATTTCTTAACCTATAAATCAAAGATTTCAAATTTGAATATTTACTCATTTTAATATTTATCAAGTTAGTCTAACTTTATTAGATTTTTCATATTCACCTTTTTCATGCTTTCCAGTCCAAGTTTTGAAGTTCCTTCTTTCCAATCCAGGGACACAACCTGAAATTATTTGCACCGTTGATAGTAGTTAATTCAAATTGAATCTGATAAAAATTAGATCAATAAAGTAAAATGTGAGGTGCAACTAATACAAGCTAATACTAAATAAATAAGTCATTAATGAACATAATAATTAGAATTTCTTACCATCAATCCTCTATTGGATGAACGTGTAAGATCTTCAATGTATAATTCAAAATCTTGCAATTTGACTTTCCCTTTCACATCAATAGATTTTGTCCATTTGACATTAGGCATATTTTCACCACTACAAAGTGAAGAATACATTCAAAGATAAGACATATAATTGCAGAAAAAAATTCATTGTTCACCTAACTTACTAAACATTTTGTTTTGAATGCGTAAAAAATATATTTAGCTATGTAGTTATGCATTATTATAAAATTAAAAAGTAATGCAATAATTAATCACGAATTCATCAGAATTATTAAGAAATGATTAAAATATAGTGTTTTGCTTGTGTTTCTATTGTTCTAATTAAAAGAAACATCAATAAAAAAAATATGCATACCTTTTAAAGGATGCAACTGTAGGAACAGTTAGGGAAGAGTTCAACCTAAGATACCCATCCCAAATCTTTTTGTTGGATGAAGTAGACATAACTGTTTTCTGTTTATATTAGAATAAAGTAATAATGATTAGAAATATCATAATTAGTGCTTAATAATAAATGATCTCTGTCCAAAATAATACATCTTCAAATTTCACCATAAATAATACATCTTCAAATTTATGTCTCTTAATCACTTTAACCCTAACAATGTCTCTCAAATCATTAAAACACTTTATTAATACTAAAAGATTTTATCAATAAATAAAAACTCAGCCCTAAAAATTTTATATCTATAACAATAATATTCCAATTTTCTCATAACCAAAACCCATAAGTGCATGAAATTAAAAGAAGATGATATGAAAACCTAGAAAACAATTAAGCTTAATTATAAGAGAACTAAATTGGGCATATGTTTATTTACCTTCTGATACACAGATTATCAAAGTGTGAGATGCAATGAGATTCTTCTTCTGCTAACGTGATAATTTTTGCTTTCACTGTGGGAAATTTCAAATGCCCTTTCTTCTAAATATATAGCATGACATGTCTTCTATGCCATATATATCACTCGTCTCGGATTTTTTTCTTAAATTTTCTTTCAAAAATATTTATAATTTTCATAAAATATAAATTCTCTCTTAATTCTTTGTATATCTTTATGATTTAAATTTTCCATAAATGATATTTTTTTAAAACATTTTATTTATTTATTAATGTTTATAATTTTTCTTAGAATATCTATTTCCCTAAAATTATTTTTATTTTTATGTTTAATAACTTTTCTAAAAATATATATATTTTCCATAAAAAAATTTCTATTTCTTTATGTTTATTATTTTCTAAAAATATAAATTTTCCCTTAAATTCTTTTTATTTATTTATTTTTAAATTGTTAAAAATATATAGTTTCCATAACTGTTGCCTTTTTTTATTCTTTCTTTCCATAACTTTATAATTTAATAAATTGAATATAATTTTCTTCTTTTATTTTTGAATTTTATAAATTTAACTTATTATGTTATTTTTGTTAATTTTAAATTAATCAAATATATGTTAAAAAGGATAAGGATAAATTTGACCAATGATGTTTCAATGTGTTTGATATGATGAACTGCGTACTGCCCCAGGCAATCTTGCACCATATTGATTGATTGATAATCCCTTATTCTGTTTGGTAGGATCTCTCCTCAGTCTACCTAATTCTGGAAAGCTGCTCGCACGAGGTAACATCCTTGGTCATTTTTTGAACATATCCCACAGCGTTCATAATTGAGAGGAGGTACTTGACCGTATCCACTCCGTATGCAGTGCATTTTCACCAAGTTTGTTGCTAATAAGTGAATGTCACAACTTTCATATCTACTTGGGCCTTCATCAGCTATGTTGACTTGATGAGTTTCTGTGTCTTGGTATATTGGGAACCACCAGTGATCTAATAAGTGTTGAAGATTTCTTTGTACGAGCATGCAACCTTGATCGTTCTCGAAGAAGACTCTATAATCCTAATAATTGTGTGATGCTAAGAAGCCAAGTCGAACCTGTTTGGCGTGTAATTCTACCAGACTTGTGTTCATCAGGCGAATGTCGAAGATTTGAACTCTGTTTGGACATTCATTAATCATGTTGATCTGACAATCGTTCCCTCTGTGGTAGTTTTGGATCTAACCTAGATCAATTTGACATTAAAGAGCTTCTTGCACAAAAGGGCATCCTTGATTATCTTTTGAACAAATTGGGCAACCACTATAGTCGTGCGACGGTAGATTATGATGTTGACTTTGTCTAGAGTGCATTGCTACCAAGTTTACATTCATTTCGCGAATGTCAAAATTTTGAATAATTCGTGGGCATTCATAAATTATGTTTACTCCACAAATTTTGTGATCTTGGATCCAACCCAAGTCCGTCTGCTCTTGAAGGGCTTCTTGTACAACGTTGCACCCTTGGTTGTTCTTGGAACAAATGTCGCACTGATGATAGTTGTGAGGTGGTATGTGGCCGTACCCATTTTGTTTGTAATGCATCTTAACTAGATTTGTTCCTAGTAAGCGCACATCAAGAATCAGATAACTGTTTCCAGGACACTTGTCATATAAGTTGACAGAAGCTTTCTCATACTGAGGTAACATATTACTTTAAACATTTGGATTAGTGTCCTTGAAAGACAAAACTCCATTCTTGACAAGTTTTGGTACATCAAATTTAAAACTAAAACAATTCTCGATGTTATGCCCCGGTGCTCCTTGATGATAAACACATAATTGGTCAACCTTGAACCAATAAGGGGGATTTTTAGGAATGGCATGAGGAGTCCTAGTTTGAATGTATCCTTTTGCTAACAACACTAGGAATAGCTCCGCATATGGCATTGGGATAGGATCGAAACCTGGTGACCTTATGATACGATTGTTGTTATTGTATTGCGGGCGAGTCTGCTAAAGAGGTTGTTGTTGCCTTTAATGATATTGTGGTTGTTGATTTTGATTCTGAGAAGTTTGTCGATGATATGCCAGAACTGGCGCTAAGTTGATAATAGGAGATACAGTTGCTACCTGCCGAGGTTAGTATCTTCGTCTTTGTTTACCCTGTGAAATATTGTTGATTTCTTGCTCTTTCTTCTTTTGGAAAATGCTTCCGTATCTCTTGTTATTGTTGGGCGGAAATTTCACGCCATCTCAAAGCGTACTCCTTGAAGGTTTCATTATCTTTCTAAGACATAACTCTGAGTTGATCTCTGTCAGGCGCCATATCTAAATTGTACTTGTACTTCTAAACAAAAGGTGCTCCAAGATATATGAAGGTACTGATCTTCGTACGATTTAACCCCATGTACCATTTGAGTGCGGAACCAATTAAACTATCTTGAAAGTAGTGGATCAGTAACTGTTGATTTTCAGTTGGGTAGACATCTTCCGAGCATACATTACCGAGTGACTTTGATGGCAAGAGTTTCCTTTGCACTTTTCAAAGTTGAGCATCTTAAATTTGTTCGGTATTTTGATGTTTGGGACTAAGCAGAGATCAATAGCATCTTTTCCAAACAAGTCCTGTCCGCGAATGGCATGGAGTTCTTTCTGCATTTCCAAGAACTGTTCCTGGAATTCATTTATTCTTTCATATACCTCTACATCCTTGTTTGGAGTAGCATGAAATATTTGTTCTTCTAGAATGTTATATACCACAGGTTATGGCATAGTCACTATTGATGCGGCTCTTAGCGTTTATGTGATCTGAAGTTTGTAACCTTCAAGTATGGGAATCTCTGTCGCAGTTCTCGCATCTTTGTTTACTTAAAGTTTATAACCATCAGGTCTGGAGATTCTAGTCGTAGCTTCTAGGCCTTCAGTGACCGGAGGTATATATCCTTCTGGGCCTTCAGTAACCGGAGGTATATGTCCTTCAGGCCCAAAATTGAAAGGCATGCCCCAAGGAAAACCTTTAGGCATGTTGTGCTGAGGAAGACTGACGGGTACCTCAAATATTGATGCAAACACAACTTCTAAGATTACAGTCCTTTGAGTTGGTTGATCCTGAGCTGCCGCCATTGACTCAATCATGACGTTAAGTCTTTCCATACCCTCCTTTAGAGTATTGACTTCCTCTCTTAACTCTCTATTTTCTTCCTCAAGATCGTCCATTTTCTTCTGACGATTGGCCCGAGTATTATACGAATGAGACAGTTTGACTCAAAAGTGTGATGAAAGTGTAAGTTTTTTATGAAAAATGTGTGAAATGCTAGAATGATGCATGATATGCAAAGAAAAATGCAAATGCTTTTTTCTTAAAGAACTTTTAATAATTATGTTGCAAATATCATACAACGACGAAAACTTTTTATTGAATTCAAAGGATTACAATATCTTATAGAGAAAAGTACATTATTTTACAAAGTGTCGGAAGGAAAACTAGGCTTATGAATCCTAAGGAATCCTTGACGAAGGTCCTGATGCTAGTTGCTGATTCTTTTTTGTCTCTTTGATCGGGCTTCTTCAACCAGTGGCGGGTCGATGATCCTTTTCCAGGTGAAAGGAGAGAGTAAACTTTTTCGTTCCTCTTGACTTTCTACAACATGTTGCTCCAGTATCTCAATCAGAGCATCTTTTTCTTTCAGTAGCTCTTGAATCTTTGTGCACTCCAAGCTGACAATTAGATACTTGTTCCTCCAAGAGTTCTTTTCATGTTGAGTATTATTAAAAGCGACCTGAAGTTTCTCTGTGTCATTCATAAAGTAGAGGATAGATTCCTTTAGGGGAAATACTTCTTGACGAGGTTAAGGCATCTTTAACTTGACAACTCTAGCTTTTACCCATTGGAGATAAGGCTCCGCAGAGGTGTAATTTGGTTTTCCCAGAGATTCTCTTCCTTTCTTATGAATATGATGTCAGGCATGCATAATTTCTTCTTTAAGTGCTCTGTCATTTTCTCCTTCCTTGAAGAAAAGACCTTCCAGACGAATGTTGTACGGTATGTCCTTCATCGGGTAACCAAGCTGACGACGGGATAAAACTGGGTGGTAGTTGATTCCTCCTTTAGTACCAATGAAGGGTACATTGGGGAAACTTCCACAGCTGTCAATGATCTTGTTCCGTCTTAAACCTGATTGTACCAATCTACGTCAGAGTGAGTGAGAGACATAATCTTTTGCAACCATCACATACCACTTTTGAGATCCCAAAAAGCAACAGATTTGGGTAAGTGAGAAATAAACCATTTTTAAAGTAATGGTACATAGCAGGTGATCATCCCTCTGCTATACAAATTCCTTAGATGTACTGAGTGGTAAGTGTCTGCAAGAAAAGTTAGGAATGGATTCCCGATTAAGAATATCTTGATAGCATTGATGTCGATGAAGTTGTCAATGTTGGGAAAAAGGAATAACCCATAGATGAGTAAAACAAAGATATCCTTGAAAGCAACCATGTTCCATATGCAGGTAAAGTATAGAACTTTCTCCATCAAGACTTTAGCTGGTAGGCCTTGAATTCCTCCCTTGGTGGTCATGTGAGCTTTGATATCTGACACTTCCAAGGAGGTAGCTCTTACA